AAGGGGCTCCCCATGGCATTGTCGGTGTGATATCATTTGCGTCTGCTTGAATATATAACTTAAAGCCACAGAGCCAATGTGGAATGCAAACAGGAAGCCATCCATTAATTTATCAGAATGCACAGAGCAGTGAAAATAAGATGACAGCATATAAATGCTGCAGAAAAGCAAGTAATTGTGTCATTCTGTTGTCTAGACGGTTTGCTTTAATAATGCAAAACTGTGATTGCACTGGCTAGTTGTAATCATGGCATAGGAGCTTTGCAGATATTCAGAAACAGCACAAGGGAGACAGAGGGGATTTGCAGAGTTCCTGTGCTCCATGCTGGGAACACAGGGATATTCTGCACAAAATGGCTTGTCCTCTGCTTTAAGGTGCAAGTAAACCCCCACAAAAAAGTAACGTAACTGTTAATTAGCACAAAAGGGGAATAGAAAAGCAACTGTAGATAAAGGACCTGGGATTTGTTCCTCTTCCTGTCATTTGAATGTTACGTCATGGATTTTAGTAATTCCCATAGTTAAAATAGAATATCCAAACTGAGATGTCATAAACAAGTGCACTTTCAAAACAGTCTTGTTGAGATTTTGTCTTTGCCAGCAATGCTTACATTTTATCCCACCTTGGAAGCCCTTTATTTTCTATATATGCAAAAATAGCCAGAGCAGGGAAGATAATTCCAGCTGGCGTGCCAATCCTACATCAACTACAATAAATTACTTAGCAGAGCGAATGTTCTGTTACTTTTTATGGTCATGTTCTATATTTGTATTCAGAGTGGAAATGGTCACATGACAAAACCGTCTTCTGATGTTACAGCTTGTGAATACCAGCTAGTGCCTGTTGCCTGTAGAATTGTTCTTGAGAAAGTTGTGATTGCAACTCATCCTCTAGCCAAACTTTCTTTCTGATGTTTGGTGTTAAATAGAAAATTACAAAACAACTCTACATCTTTTCTACTTGAAAGAATCAAAAACTTAGAATTTTTTTTTAACAACTATTGGGGATTTTTTTTCACAAATAAAAAACAGTGTGAGCTATTACAGAAATCTTATTCCTGACTAATCAACTGGGTTGCAGTTTACTGAAAATCTCTGTATGCATTTGTGCAAGTATCATATATCATAATTGAAATCCATAAAATTCGCTGTTATGGTCCAAGATAAAGTTTCAGTTAAGACACCTTTTTTCCTCATGATAACTCTTTCAGGAATGAATTTCCCCTTTCACTTCCTGTTGTCTCAGCCCTGTTCTTAACTATGACTCGTTTGTAAGTTGGATGTTTGTAACTCGGGAACTGCCTGTATATGCTGAAAATAGTACAGGTTGAATATCCCTTATCTGAAATACCTGGAACCAGAAGTGTTTTTAGATTTCAGATCATTGGCGATTTTGGACTGCCTGTATTTGCACATACAGTAGAGTCTTGCTTATCCAACATAAACGGGCTGGCAGAACATTGGATAAGCAAAAATGTTGGATACTAAGGCGGGATTAAGGAAAAGCTTATAAAATGTCATATTACATTATGGTTTTACACCAAAACATCATGTTTTACAACAATTTGACAGAAAAAGCAATTCAATACAGTAACGTTCTGTAGTAATTACTGTATTTACTAATTTAGCACCAAAAAATTGCAATGTATTGAAACAGCTGTGGATCTGGGCAGGAGGCAGACTGCATTGGATAACACAGAATGCTGGATGAGCGAAGGTTGGATAAGCAAGACTCTACTGTATCTACAAAATTCGATATCTTGGAGATATGACATGTTTAAACATGAAATTCATTTATGTTTAATATGCACCTTATACACATGGCCTAAAGATAATTTTGTACAGAAAAAAATTGTGTATGAAACAATTTTTTTTCACTGAACCATCAAAAAGCAAAGGTGTCACTATCTCAGCCACCAAATTTTGTAATTCCATATTAGGAATAGTCAGTCTTTATTACACCTTTTTGTCTCATGTTTACTTTCTGTGTTTATACATTTCAAAATATGTGAGACTTTCAGACAGATAACTTGAAACTAGTTCGATTTTGAATAGGATGAGTTTTAGCATATGCCATATCCATAATAAATGTAACTTTTTCAGTCTTTCAGACCTTTGCTGACTTCCTGTTCCCAGGGGAGATGCCACATTGTCAGTAGCTTGGAAATTGTACAAATACAATATGTAGATTAGGATAAAAATGTAATGGGGGGGGGGGGCGAGTTTTTATAGCTCCTTCTGGATGAAAAGAGCCTTTCTTGCACTGAAACATATGTAAAGAGAGATACTGCTGCAATTGTTGAGCCACTGAGGGCTTTAAATGTCATTATTAGTATCAGTAAATTCCAACCAGAAACACATTAGCAGCCTGTGCAGTTCCTTTAAAATCCTTGAGTTATGGTTTCTATATTAGGTTCCCACCTTTTATACTAGCAGCTTCCAAGTCATATTCAAGGGCAGCTCCACTTATAAAGTTTTGGTTTAGTCTTTCAGAAAGATACCAAAATAAAACAAAAATCAAAATCCACAAAAGAGCAATGCCTTTTTTTGTCAAAACAAAATGAAAACTTTTGAAGCTCTGCTGGCTCCTTCACCAGGCAAAAGATGTTAAGAAATCATACAGGAAAGGGAAAAAAGAAGGAAAAAAACCCCATGACAACACTGAAGTCACAGCTCTACATTTTGTATCAGATTTTGTTTCTGCTGTAGTTCAGTTGATCTGGAAGGTTCTCAATGCAAGTAGAGGCCACTGTCCTTCCTGACAATGTGGGGACAGAGAAAAAGGACAATAAAAATTAAATTCCATTAGCAGATGTAAATTAACCCATCTTGGGATTCATGATGTTTCTGTCTTTTGTGAAGTCACAAGTCCCTTTCTTAGGCAGAGGACACTTAATTTCACACAAATTCTCTGTACTGCTATATCTGGAAAAAACATTTTAGTACTGTATTAATAAAACTCAGACAATTATAGTATTTTAACAAGACCAGAAAGCAACTAGTGTGGTTAATTTATCTCATAGCTGATGACTAGTCAAAGATGACCCCAAGAACTTTGGGTCACGGAGTCCTCCTGGGCTTCCAGTGGTGGAGATGGATTGAGGAATACCTCTAATCCAGTGCTTTTCGAACTGTGCTTCTTCTGGTGCACTTCAGCTCCCAGAAATCCCAGCCAGTTTACCAGCAGATAGGAATTCACTCTTAAGACAGGCCACGGTTCCCAGATCCAATAATCACTCTTCTAGAGAACTTCTATCATATAGGGATTCAATTCCAACTTCTTGGCCTTCACCTTGTCTGTATGAGCATCCCTACACAGCACTAGATGGCTCTGACAAGGAGCAGTAGAGCTTGATGTCATTAGCATACTGAAGGTGTACTGCGGGAGGTTAATGTCATTTTAAAGATGGTCCATCTCTTCTGAAGAAGATAATCAAATTCCCACTGGAGCTTGAAGCAATTTTTGATCAAGTGTAATCATATAGTGGTATTGCAGATCTCAGTCTAGTTACTTTCTCAGTCTTTGAAATGTGGGTGAACAAACAATATTTTCTGTAGTGTGCCATATTTATGCCATATTATTATCATAGTTCCCTTAAAACATTCCATGGATCAGCAGCTGATGGCTCACAGACCAAACTGCTACTTTGAGTAGCACTGATCTAAGCTGACTCTACAGCTGCGTCAATTTTTCAAAATGAGGATTTGCTAAAACAACCATGCTTAGGCAGGCCAGTCTCTGCAAAATGTGTTCCAGGGAATTTAGTGAAACATGCTTCAAAATAAAACTGGGCCAAAACTGGGGTTTTTTTTCTCGTGTGCAGTTAGACACAAAATATGGAATTGGAAAAAATGCAGCTTGAAAACTGATACTGTGCTTTTTTTGGGGGGGGGGGGAATAAACTGAGCACATTAAATGATAGGACTATTTTGTTGAAAACAAGCCCCATTTTGGAGAGAAACCAGTTTTAGCAGTATCAATTTGATGAGGCAGCAGAAGCTGGCTCTTGTGCTGATTTGTCACTGAGTTGGGATTTACACTGGTCCATGAACTATTGCATTGTCCTGTTAATTGATGGACGAGGGCAGATTAAGAGAAGAATTGTTGCTGTACAATAGATAAGAGCTACTGATTCCTGCGGATAAGCTGCTACTAGTTCAGGGTGTAAGCAAGGAGCAAAACATGCTCCCCCCACCACCACCCCCCACACATTTTTTAAAGAGCGACAAAATTGGTGTGGTTGGAATATTTGCTTTTTTAAAAGCCCAGACTGAAAATTAATGAATGTTGAAATCCATGTACAGGCAGTCCCCGAGTTACAAACATCTGACTTACAAGCAACTCATAGTTAAGAACAGGGGTGAGACAGCAGGAAGTGAGAGAAATCTACCCCTCAGAAGGGAAATTCACTCCTGAAAGTGTTATCCTGGGGAAAGGTGTCTCAGCTGAAGCTTTATCACCAATCCTTATTTTGACAACAACCCATTTTTTTCAAAATCCAATTATCACAAAGACAAAATGCGGTGAAATCTTCTGATCAGAGACACACACAGCAAAACAAACACTGGAGGGGTATTAACCCTTCCCTATGCTATCCAAAGCTTATATGGCGTACCTTGGCTGGAGGTGCACTGAAAAAAATTACCTATTCCAACTTACAAATAAAATTAAGAACAAACTTGTTTGCATCTTGGGGACTTCCTGTATAACTAAATACCAATTTTAGTGTTTCATATCTGAAAATAAATAATTGAATTGTTTCTTAAATTCTGGTCCTGGTGTTCAATGAAAGCATGAAAGGAAGTTTAGCAGATATTTATTTAAAACATTATTTGTTCTTCCACCTTAGTGAAGATCACAAACAATAGCTGATAAACAGAAACCAGCAAGTGAATATGATTGTTCAAAATGTCTGTGTCTCCTATTTACTCTTTCTCTCAGTAGGTCCAGTATATTTCTTTTTTGGCCCCAGTAATACAATTTCATTTCAATATTACAGGATGAATTGTCCATTCTTCTAAAACCGGTCTCGGACAAGATCCAGGAAATCCAGATGTTCAGAGAGAGAAACCGAGGAAGTAATATGTTTAATCATCTGTCTGCAATCAGTGAAAGCATTCCAGCACTTGGGTGGATAGCAGTTGTAAGTTCTGAGTTGCATATGTGGATACTGGAAAATGTTTCTGACTTGTGCAAAGGCTGTAGAGCAGTGGTTCTCAACCTGCGGATTCCCAGGTTTTTTGGCCTACAACTCCCAGAAATCCCAGCCAGTTTACCAGCTGTTAGGATTTCTGGGAGTTGAAGGCCAAAAACATCTGGGGACCTCAGGTTGAGAACCACTGTTGTAGAGGCTGTAGCTTTCCCCGCCATCCACCTCCCACATTTCATAATATTTGGGCTGCATCCAGAATGAATAGAGGTATTGGATGCTGACTTCTCCATAATGTGCTCTACATTGCTGCTCTCCATAGCCAACCAGATCACCTTGCTGAATAGGACTGAATGTAATGCACAAATTAGTTGTTTAAAAAGACACCTCATCTTCATTCTTGAATCTCTCTTCTTCTTCTTCTTCAGTCCTCTATGGCTTAAGCCACTCAATAAAATATACGTTTCTGCTATTTCCTTTATGCCCATTCATCTTTGAATCTTACTCTTCATGTCTACATTGAAAAATGAGGATAGTTTACCTTATGATTTTATACGTTCATTTTTTCTCTTTTACTACCATATTTATTTACCTTCTACATTCATCTGATGGCACTCTATCTTTCCTCAGTCTCCAAAACCAGGGCCTTACGTCAAGGAGATGACGGATGCTGCTACCTTTTATACTAACAGAGTGTTAAAAGACTACAAACACAGGTACATCACCACCTCATATTTATATTTATGGACACTAAAATCCTCTGATCCCCATTTTGTTCTTGTCAGTATGCAAGAAAAAATAACAGATTTTTGCCTGAGAGATTATTAAATGTTTTGCAGAATTTTAATGGTTCATTTAAAATGGATCATTTAAAACAGTATGTGCAAATGGATCATTTAATGGATCATTTAAAACAGTATGTGCAAATTTGTCTACCAAGTTTCACATAGTATGTTGCACACAATGAAAAGCATAGTGTGGCATTCTGAGCATTAGACTGTGACTAGAGAGAAGGGTTTGAACCCACTAATGACCTTTTGTAAGTCATACTCTCTTAGAGAACCCCACATTAATTTTATGGTGGGCACAGAGTGTAGATAACCTCCAGGTAATAGCAGCTCGCTGGCTCCCTCTTCCTAAAGACTTGTACATCTGGCGTAGCCTCCAGCAAAGTGGGAATCACCAGCCAATAAGTTAGTCATGCCCATTCAGAGTCCCATCCAGAGTGAACCATACATGGATTTCTGACATGGTGTGTGTGTGGGGGGGGGGGGGGGGATATTTATCTCTTGATCCCACTCATGATATAGCAATTTGCTTAGAGCAGTGTTTCTCAACCTCTGCTARMCCAGGTGTTTTGGACTTCAGTTTCCAGAAGTCCCAGTCACCTTACCAGCTTTTAGGAATTGTGAGAACTGAAGTCCAAAACATCTGGAGCACAGTTTGAGAACTCTGGCTTAGAGTGTTGCCCCCCAACTCCCCCTTCATTCAGATCTTTTTATGTTTGTTATGTGTAGCATAGGTATTATGTCTTTCTATTGTCACCTGGTCACAGTTTTGGGGAACAGGTGGCAAGGGTTGTGAATCCAGGGCATTATTTCCCTGTTTGCCAGTTCACACTTGCATTGGTAAAATAGAATGATCCCTTCAAGGTACTGAGGGGGAGGGGCGTTGCTAGCTTGGGGCTGTTGCCTGTCATGTCCCTCTATGTGGAACCCTTTCCTACCATCCTGCTGAACCTGGCATGAGGCTGGATGGTTGGGCTCATTGATCAACAATGAGATGGTCGATGCCTACGTCCTGATCCATGCATGTGCAGCTGTGACCAAGAAAGGTTGTGGCTTACCTGTTCTATTCATTTCTGTAGAGTGAACCTGGTGCCACAAAGTGGAGTCCACGACATGCGGGTATGGAGAAGAGCAAACCACAGACCTTCCTGTTACAATGCTATCTTAGCTCTGCCACATGCACAATGGAGGTCCTTTTTATAGCAACACCAGAGGCACTCCAAGTGTCCAGCTACTGGTCAAAGGACACTTAATATAATGCCAAGTTTTTAAACATCACAACTGCACCCTTTGTTCGCTCCTGATAGGACAAATAAATAGCCTGCAAAGACCTTTCTTCAATTGCTTGCACTGTTATTTGGAGATGCTTTCCGTACAACAACACTAACATAACTTACTTGGTGTCCTATAGCATAAAACTTGAAAGAAAAAAATACTAAATAGATATTGAGGTAAATGGCAAAGCTTTGATTGATACCAATGAACAAGATGGTCTCTAAAACTGGAAATTTATGTACAAATATTTTCGTATTATATTGCAGTGACCTGCGTCATGTTGAATGGGTGAAGTCATTCTTGAGTATATGGACAGAACTTCAGGCATACATTAAAGAATATCATACGACTGGTCTCACCTGGAATAAAACCGTAAGTGCTTTATTTCTTGCCATTCCATTGAGAGAAAAGTCAAAGAATGCCAAAATAATTTGTATGATTTTATTTTTGCTGTGATCTTCAATTCTGTCTCCTTTTGAAGGAATGTTTTCACAGTATCAGGTAACTATGAACAGAGAATCTGAAATTAAGCAACTATTCCAAAAATTGAAAATTCTGACTACACAATTATGAGGGAAGCCAACAAGTCAAAATGTAGCATTTCTCTCCTGCGCTAAAGACATTGCCATGTGATAATATTAATCTAAGTCTGTTTTACAATCCCCCAAGAAAAATTGCCTTGCTAATCTAAATAGTGTAGCTGATGTAACTTTCACTGGTGTGCAGACAACATGAAAATCCTGAACAGGTGATAAATAGAGCACTTTCCACCGCCCACTTTGAGTTCCGCTTAAGGCAACCAGATAAACCACCCAGCTAAGAGACAAAATGGATTAGATTTATTATTTTTTGGTATGTAAGCAGCCATCATCAGCTGTTTCACCTTGTAACTAGCATATCATTGTGCAAGGAGGAATGTTCACAGACAGGTGGTCTCAATGTTATAGTTAAGCGAGGCAACACTAGTGTTCAGTTACAGAAGAAACACCTTAATAAAAGATCTGTGTCTTTTGTGTCATAGTCCACCTGTTCTTGTAGGCTGTTACACGATATTTTGAGCTTTACAGACCTCATCATTATATATGTATATGTATGTACAAAATAATCTCTTGCTCTATAATGGTATCAAAGTGTGTAATCAGGATTATAAGAGTTTTTAAAGCGGGTATCTTTTTTATTAAGAGAATGAAAATATGTCCTTTGGGACACTGGTTGTATTGGAGTGTCTGTGGAGATTTAGTTCATTTTTTGTCACTGTTCATACCACCTGTCTCCTTCATTCACTATTCAAATAGCTTACATGCTACTTATCCACATTTCTATAAATTCCTCCTTACTGTCATTCATACATGAAATTGATGCTGAAATTAAGCTTTCACACACCAGAATAATTATCTGAAACCCAAGCATTGTAGGGTTTTTTCTTATGGCACTATCTAACTGCCCTGAGTCCTGATAGGATGGGATATAAATTACTACTACTACTACTACTACTTATTATTATTATTATTATTATTATTATTATTATTATATAAGCATATTTAAAAATGCTAAAAATTCATGTTATAATGTAACACAGTTGTCCCGCACTTGGTTATAAATAATTCAAAATCATCTACAACCGCTTATGGAATGGCAGGGTCCCCACTACAATGTACTATAACATTATGTTTATAATCCACCTTTCCTCAGTTAAGGTCATTGGTGTCTGTCTGTCTCACTCTTTCCTTATAAATAATCTTGTGATGTCACCTAGGCTCAGACAGTGACTCACTCATCATCAGTAAGTGAACTCATGGCTGGCTGGAGGTGAATGCAGATCTCCCCAGTCAAAGTGCAAAAGATGAACAGCTATTTGTCACAAGTTGGATGGTGGGTCCTGTATTGTATTTCATCAAATGAAAAGTGCACCCCTGTTTTTGAAACTTCAATGTTAGGGGGGGGGGGAAATTCTTACAAGATTTCCTCTGCAAGCGCAATACCATGTTTTTGTTTTAATCTTTCATGGGGGTGAGGAGGGATTGTGAAGAAACCATCAGGTAATCTGTCTACATGAGTCTATATTATTAAGTCTATGAGTCCCTTGGGGAGGCAGTAGAAGCAGGAAGCCACAATTAGCAAAAATAAACAGCCGTCTGGTTGAGGCTGAGGACAAAATGGTGGGGTCATAGCTAAGCCGTTGGGGTTGGGACCCTTCCTCCTCTTTTTCTCTCTCTTGGAGGTAAGACTGCTTTGAAAGGGGGGGGGGATGACAAATCTAGGGAATCATTGACTGTTAAGATGTTTTTGAAACCCCTGAAATGGGGGGAAAGTGCACATATTCGATGAAATATATGTACAAAGATGCATATAATGGAATCTCTATAGCAGCGTAGCATTAGAGATTGAGTTCTTCTTCCCCTGCAATGGTTTTTCTTCCCTGAAAAGGCACTAGGCATTCTACTTAGAAATATCCAAAAGTTAAAAACAATAAATATAGTGGAACACTTCCAAGAGCAGAAGATAGGGATGATCAATTAAGTGTTTGAAGGTTTTAAAAAAGTGACAAATCATATCAACCAATGTATGATGAACTCCTATATTTCAAAACTTTCCACTATGCCACCGTTCACAATGCCCAAAACAAGTGACAAAGTTATAGATCAGAGATTTTCCAAGCTGATCTCTCCTTCCACTTTTAACATGATTTTCATTTGAGGCAGCAAAAACTAAAGACGTAATAGTTTTCTTTTGTGGATCATGTAACCATGGGAAATCTGATCAGCTGATTAAGCTCCCATCCTCATTTGCAAGTAACCAGCATTGGGTTAATTATCAGTTAAGTTCTGTGAAAGCTAATCAAGTCTCCTTTCTCCCTTAATACTCACCTGAAAATGTATAAGAAAATGAAAGATGTAACATTAAGTCCATTATGATTCATTTCATTACAAGAGTGATCAATTTCAATATGCAAGTTTGTCAGTCTTAACACTGTTTTTCTCTATATTTAATGGAAGAAATTAGTCATAAAACATTTCTTGGTTAGCAACCAATGGATCTTATTCACAAATGAGAAGTCCCACTAACCAGATACATTGCCAGAAATGCTTCCATGCATTATTTAACTTAACTATATAGTATAATGGCCTGTAATGAGAGAGCAGCTGTTCCTAAGAAAGGCAGCTGACAGAAATCTAGAAGACAGATGCTATAAACATTTGTGCTAGTTAAATAGCTTTTTATAAAGATATATTGTTAAAAACATCTGCTCACACTTAATCTAAAGAACTGTTTGCAGCAGCAAACACCTGCTGGATTAAGAAAAGGCAAATTTTGGGAACTTACTATTTTTTAGCAGAGGTTATATGTTGGAGATAGCATGCTCACACATATGTTGTTCTTTTTGTCTTTTCATACAGTGGCCAAATAGATATGCTATGGGGAGGAAATTAAGAGCAAACACCCACAAAAACTTGCAATAATATATTGGTTTTACATAGGATTGATATTAGAACCTAGCTATATATTAACTTGTATGGCGGCATCTTGTGCCAACTTTCCATGACAGTTTTGCTTTAGAGACAGAGGTACTTTACTTCATAAGCCTTTCCCCTTTCAATTTTCCTCTGCATTCTGCTGTATGTTACTTTTCTTTGTCAAGTTTTTTGAAGCAGAAAAACATTTTTGACTCACTGGGGTGACAGTTTGCAATCCCATAGACAGGCAGTTAGTAGTAAGGTACCTTTCTCCTGGTGCATGGCTGAGAGGAGATCCCCTTTCCTCCTAGCCCAAGTAGTTTGGAAGGAATGGGAAAGCCAGCCAAACAGAAGAAATCTGCTTACCTGGAGGACCATAGGCTGGATTGGAGGCTTCATTTTGGTCAGCTTTGGATGTGCAGCTGGCTCCTAGTTATACGGTATCTAGGTAATTTCTTGTTCATTGGACCAGTTAAATCAAGCAGACAGAATTAGGTTAGGTAAGATGGCCTCAGCAGGACAGGATGTGATTTAATGGGCTCCAGTATTTTTGTTTTTCCTACTCCCTCTTGTTGAAATGGGGAGCAGAAAACGCAGTAGGACTACCCCCAAGTCAACCTCATACCATAAAGCTTCCAAACAACTGAAAATTGAAGAACTTTTCAGGGAGGGAACTGTGAGTATATCTGACTTAAACGCCCTGTTTGAAATTACTACTGACAACAACGCTACTCCCTTAATTCTTCATGATAAAGCTAATGAGCCTCTATCATTAGCCTTAGACAACAACTTGTATATCATGAAGGAGTGTCTGGATATCAAGTAAACTATGATCTGCTCCATACTTTTCAGCACATGGCTAGGAAAACTAGGGAACTCTTCATTTGTAACAAGACTCAGGGGCCCAAAAGCCATTTGGTTTCTGTGCTCATCTTTATGTAAGGGATCAGAAGTCCCATGCTTTCTTAAACCACTGCCTTATTCCCAGTAAGCCAGAATTCATTTAAAATTCAAAAACTAAACCAAGTTCCAAAATACTTGTTTGTTGTTGCATCCAAATGCTCCCAGAGTTGCAAGACTACATAACTCTAAATTGTTCATTTCCACAAATGTTTAAAACAATCATTTCTTTTTCAGTTGTGAACATGTTATAAACCAATGTACAGTCACTGTATTCTAGATATTTGTTAACCATGCTTACCACAATAAAATCTTACAATATGTTCCTTGATATTGTACTTGATATTTGAGTTGTGTCCTCCTCCTTATTTCATTTCTAGGTATTGAGGTCCTCAGATTTTATTCTAGATGAAGTAATAAACTGGCAAGACACTACTTGGTAGAAACTCCTTAAAATTAATGAAATCAATATGTGTGATTGTATACTTTTGCCTCTCTTACAGGGGCTTATTGCTTCAGCAGGATCTGAACCATCTACACTAATGGGCAACCAAGGCCCTCCTCCACCACCACCGCCCCCTCCTCCACTGCCAGGGCCTCCTCCGGTCTTGGATGATGCAAATGCAACTCGGTCAGCTTTATTTGCCCAGCTGAACCAGGGAGAAAAAATTACCAAAGGTATGAAGGAAACAATACATTTAATATTTTTTCTGAAAAATGCTATTTTAAACGTTTCTTCTGGTTCTAGCATTGAAATGAAATTAGAAAAGTCATCTCTCAATTTAAACATCCAGGATGTGTCAAGAGGACTGAAGATTTCATACAGACAGAGCCTAATTTGATATATACATATTAAAGGTTTCCTTGAAGCAGAGAAGCATACACCTTTAGGAAAAAAACAAGACTTTTTGGTTGGAGGAGGTACAATCCTTGCAATCTGCTTCACCAATCCCTTAATTTTGGAATCTCACTTAGGGCTGTGTCTTACATCTTCATAAAAGGTATCACTTTATCATTTTAATCAAACTTAAAAGCTTTGAAATAAGTCAAAGTTATTCTGTAGATGCTAGAATCTAGTATTGTGCCCTGTGCAGGCATAACAAATGTTTATACCAGTGTTTGTGCCTTAGAGATATTATGGAAAATAATCTAGAGTCTCATTGTAGAAAGCCAATTGCAGTCTGATGGCATTGTAGCACACTACCATGACCATGCAGTAGCTGAAGGTGGACCCTGGGCCCTGTCTAGCAATTACTGTGCCACCAGGAGAGCACCACAAGTAAAGCAAGCTTTGCCTTTCTGGGTGCCCAGAAAGTATGCTTGCTTTATCTGAGAGTCAAAGAGTCAACTTGTCTCTTCTTATAGTAACTGCAAGGCAAGAGTAAGGGTGAACGACAGGACAGGAGAGATACCCATTTTAAATGGTACGAAACAAAGGTGTCCATTATCCCCCACTCTATTATAGCGATAGAAATACTAGCCGAAAGTATTAGGAATAGCACCAATTGGAGAGGGTATAAAATAGAAAAGGAGGGAGGAAAAAGGGAAGAAATAAAGCTGGTCATATAGCCCAAAAAAACCTACAACAACCCAGTGATTCTGGCCATGAAAGCCTTCGACAATACATATATCAGGATTATTTGTCAACATCAAAAAGTCTTAACACCCCGCCAAAAGAACAATTGGAGATTAGGAAAATATCAGGATTAAAATTAGGATCAAAGAAGCTAAAATATAGATGGATGGATATATAAAAATCTGAAGTATAGTTAAGGTGAATGACAAACAAAAATGGAAAATAATAGAGAAACAATTTAAGAATTGGGAAGGGAAAACATTAACAAGAATGGACAGAATAAGGGCATTGAAAATGTTCATAATACCAAAATTATTATAGTTATTCCAAACATTACCAAACACAGAGACATGGGATTCTATAAAAATATGGGCAGTTGGAGGGAAAAGACCCAGAATAAGGGACAAATAGTTAAATGCAAAAGAGGAAGAGGAAGGCTGGGGATCCCAAGTATAGAAGTCTATCACGATGCATTTCAAATCCAAAGATTGTTAGAAATACAGTATAAGGAAAAAAGGGTAAATATGGAGAAGATAATAAATAATATTTAAGGAAAAGAAATCATATTTAGGGAATGGAAGAAGAGAGAGGAAACAGAACTTAGGGAACCCTTTAAAGGAATAGTAAAAGTGTGGAAAAAAGAAAGAAGTTAAATCCAGGCAATGAGAATAAGATGGCAACTATATGGCAAGTGAATTATAATAATGATGAAATTATAGGCAAAACATTGAGATTAATTGAAAGTAGAGGGAAAAGGTTAATGGAGGATCTGTATAGAGAGGATGGAAACCCTGTAGAACAAAAAGAAATTCAGAATTGGATTGGGTCAGGAAATTGGATTCAAAGCTGGGCTATAAGACAGGAAATTTTTAGACAAAGGGAAAAAATAAGAGAACAGGACAGTCCATTTGAGAAGGTGATTAGGAAATGTTTGAGAGGGGAAAAGAAAGTGGCAGGAGATCTGTACAAACAAATCATAACAGTAAAAGAAGAAATAATAGAGGAAATTTCCCAAATATGGAGAATGGATATGGACATTGAGAGGCAAGCAATCCAAAGGGAAATAAGTAATATAACAAAAGAAAAGTATAATGTATTGAGGAAAACAAGAAGGAAAAAGTTACAAAAATGGTACAGAACTCCTGCACAACAGGGATAAAGGATAGGTGCTGGCATGGTTGTGAACAAAGAGGGGTGTTTAATCATATGCTATGGGAATGTGATCAAGTGCAAGAATACTCGAAAATGATTGAAGGGGAAATCAATAGAATGTTACATTTACAAATAGTAATGGTTAATAGAAATGTACCCCATGCACGGATAACAACAGGAGTGAAGAATATACAAAAGGAAAAATTGGTTGACAAATTAATAGCGTGTGCACAAATTGTTTTAGTGAGGGGTTGGAAAGATAAAACATAATGGACACTGACTAATCTGTATAACTATATAGTTAATATGTTAAATGTGGAAATAACAAATTGCAAATGGAATTATATAGATAAAATTGAAAAGGTTATAATAGCTAAAAGGATGTGGGAACCAATTAGGAATTATTTAGAAAATGTGTTAAGATGTGGAGCAGAAAAATTAAGACTGAGACTGATATTTCAAATGTAACTTTTGTAGTTTGATGTATGAATTGCATTTACAAGAAGGGAAGGGTGGGAGTGGGGAAAAAACCAATTAAACAATTTAAAAAACTTGTCTCTTCTTAGGAAAGGAAAAGCCCAGAGTGTTTTCCATTCCACCAGGTTACCTGAAATATCTTGTCTATAATGTGTATTGGGGGGGAAATCTGACTTAATACAATATTACAGACATTTAAGTCCTGTATAAGGGTTATCCCAGGAAGGATCACACTGCTATGCCCCCAATTATAACGAATATCACAGGAAGGATCACACCACTGTGCCACCAATTATAAAGATATATCACACTGAGGGAGGAAGGAAGGTCAAGTAGTAGAGAAGATTTTAAATAATTTGAATTTATCAGACAGGGATAGATATAACTGTGTATAGCTATATTTGAATGACGTCTGAACTGAGAGGTTTTGTAACTGTTTCTTCAGTTGGGGCACGCTGCCACCTTTTCTTAGGCTGAGTTATATGTGTGGGGAGGATACTTAGTAACACCCTTCTGTGTTACTATGGTGCATATTGTCCTCAGAGGGTTTAAATACCAATGACGTTCACACACAGGCTGTTATAATGTGTTAACTATTATAAAACGTTTATTTAACAGGCTTAAAATCTTCTGGTACAAATGCGTAATGGTTTCTGTAAGTGAATGGCACAAAAGCTTTTGGTTAAGTTTTATGTACAATTCTTAGATGGGTACTGGGTTCAAATCTAAAGTTAACAAAACAGGAGATTATCTCAGGTAACTAATCTCTGATGATAATTCCAAACCAAATTCTCACTTTCTGGAATCTAGCCAAACAAATTTGGCTTAGCCTTCCTCAGGAATAAAAGAAACAGACCATAAGCAAAGTCCTGTTCCCACTGTCAGTATTCCTGGCTAACTCCTCTAGCCCTTGAATACTACAAAATATTAACCCAATTCTCCTATTTAGCACTATCTAACTGTGAACACCAACCGACTACCTAACTCCCAACTGACAAATCCCAACTGCCAAAACTCAAGCCTCAAATTCAAAAAGGTACACTTTTCCCCTCTATTTGAATGTTAGGCTCCGCCCCCTATTCCTAACCAATCCTGGCCATCTACTCTTTGCTTACTGGACTAGGACATGCCCCCTCTAAGAAAACCTGACCTAAGATGGCGTCTCCCTGTTTCCCTATCTTAAGATGGCCGCCAAGGATTCGCTAGGCCCACATTCTAACTGTTCAGGCCGATAGGCTTTGCTAAGCCCACATTCTGGCTGCTAAAGGTAAGGGTTCTTCACATTGTGCTAATGTGTATTGAGAAAAGCTGAATTTTTCATGTTTTTGGGTTTTCCTAGGGCTTCGCCATGTCTCTGATGACCAGAAGACCCATAAAAATCCTAGTCTGCGTGCCCAAGGATCCCAGGTTCGATCACCTACAAAAAGCCATACTTCAGGCCCAGCTACTCCCAAGCCTCAACAGACCCACTGCCCTGTGTTGGAACTTGAAGGGAAGAAATGGAGAGTGGTGAGTTCTGTCACCTAGAAGTAACGTGGAAAATAGCACATTTATAACACTCTGCAGTAGATTATATGCTTTTATGAAGCAGCACGTTAAAGTATTACAGTGTAAGGAAGAGGATTCAAGCACTGGATTACTGGATTTGCACCTTTAAGCTGTAGAAGTTAATGCAATTATGTTACCACATTTGTTCAGGAGACATATGTCTAAACAAATCTGCAAAGTCTATTAGAAAATACTGATTTTTATGCACCTTCAAATCATTTCTGATATATGGTGGCTCCTTTTGTGGCAAGATTTATTCAGAGGAAATTTGCCATTGCCTCCCACCTAGGCCAAGAGAGGGTGCCTTGCTCAATGCCACCAGTGGCTTTCTGTGTATCTTAAAAAACCTGTCAAAGACTTATGCTACTATACCCTGTTTATCCCTCAGGAAATGCACATTTCTGAAATGATTTAGCTCAGATTGGGGGGAATTTTTACCAATGTGACTTTGATACTCTTTTTCTAAAGGTCACTCTGATGTCAGATAGTGGAAATCTGGTCCTACTTGCACATTAGCCAAAATAAAAAAAAAAGCCTACATAAAAAAAAAAGCCTACATAATTAGAATAAATGATTGCCCTCATAAGGCTTGCAGGTCAGAATTTTTCCATAAAATAAGGTATAAAAAAGCACTTTAGTGGTTAACAATGAGGATTTTTGAAAAAAAGTAAGGAATAGAGTTGGAAAAATGAGTTGGTGCCATTGTTTCATAGTGTAGCTTTGGTCAGATTTCATCTGGAATACTGTGTCCAATTCTGGGCACCACAAGTCAAGAAAGATTTTGACAAGCCAGAATGTGTCCAGAGAGGGGTAACCAAAATGATCAAATGTTTGTAAGAAAAGCCGTTTGAGGAGAGGCTGAGATAACTGGGTATGTTTAGCTTGGAGAAAAGAAGGCAGAGAGACGCATGAGAGACATGTTTAAAGATCTGAAAGGATGTCACATTGAGGAGGAAGTAAATTCATGTTCTGTTGGTCTGGAGACTAGGACACAATGGAGCCATGGATATTCCACCTGGACATTAAGAGCAATTTCCTTATAATAAATGCTGGAAATTGCTGCCTCAGAGTCTTCTTCTCTGAAAGTTTTAAAGTACAGGCTGAATGGTTATCTGTTGGGGGTGCTTTGATTCTGTGTTCTTGCAAGGCTACCTGTTGGGGGTGCTTTGATTCTGTGTTCTTGTTGGACTGTACGCTCCTTGTGGTTTCTTCCAACTCCATGGTTCTATGAAAAGGCAGCAAAATATTATTGCATGTATTATGATTGCTCTTTCACTAGAGGCATCAGATTCCATGTGATCTTGGAAGCTAAGTGGGGTCAGTTTTCGTAAGTACTTATATTGGAGACCATAAATGAATAGCAGGTGTTATGGACTATATTTCAGAGTAAAGAACTGGCAAAATCATCTGAGTACCAAGGAAACTATAAAATCCATGGGGGTCACCATAAATTGACAGGCATACACATTTTCACCAGCAGGGAAGGAAAAAGATGTTCATGGGATTTTCCAAAATGAACCAGGTATTGAAATAATTTGTCTTGCTTTGATATTATACTGATTTGGTGCTATACTGATTTTTGTGAGATCTCTTCACTCACTTTGCAGTAGACAGTAGTGACTAGGGAAAAATTGTAAATGCAAATAACAAATATATGTTGTGTTAACTTTCTTTTTAAATATAGGAATACCAGGAAGACAAGAATGGCCTTGTAATTGCTGATACTGAACTCAAGCAAGTAGCTTATATTTTCAAGTGCAACAAATCTACATTACAAATAAAAGGGAAAATTAATTCCATTACAGTTGGTAAGTGCACTTATTCCTAGCATGAAGAGAAAATGTTGCAGTCTGATGCACACTTACATAGAATAAGCCTATTAATCATTGTTGGATTTGCTTCCTAGCAGATATAAATTGGATTGCAATTGTTGTGTTTAATCCCTGGAAGCATTCCATGGTATTACACTGTCCATTTACAATCGAAGTAAGCAATATTGAACACAATCAGGCCATAGTAAAATGATAGAAAAGGGTTAATGCTGAAAAATCTAATTAATTAATAATGTGAAAAATCTCATTCAGTCGCAGTTACAAAGAAAGAGGGGAAATTATCAGTTAATGAATGTTGAGTTGCTGTTTTAAGTTAAAGTTGAATACCTGAATTAAAAAGCCTTACCAAAATGAAGCTGAAAATGCCTTTGATTATTTTTTTTCTCTCCTCCTCCTCCTTCATCCTTTCTTCAACATGTAAGAGTAGCAAACAGCTGGACAACTTTTTGAAAACATTATTTTCCACAAAGCTGACAACAGCTTTTACTTACTTTCCTTTTGTCACCTTTTTACAGTCTCAATTCATTACACTCCCTGTTTTTGTAGCTTACTTATAATTATATGGATGCCAGTAAAATTTCAGGACTAAGAGTTTTAAAAAATCAGTTTTTTGAGACAGACGAAGTATTTCTTTGCAGTATCAGGTATTTGGAATAGGAAAGCTGCTTGGATGGAAAGAGATGTACCTCCTTCGAATTTGATCTTCTTGCTCTGGTTTAAAGTTTCTTAATCTCAAAATTACCTATGATTACGTTTTAACAAAAATAATAACATAAATAGAGATATAGCCATATTTTATTTGACAAATAACTGCATTGAACTGCATTATATAGCAGTGCAGGCTCATATAATGCAGGTCTGTGTAGTTAAACTGCATTATGAAACTGCATTAAATGGCAGTGTAGATCCAGCCAAAGCCTCTGGCAGAAGCCAAATCTACGCTGCCATATAATGTAGTTGGAGCATTATATGGTCCATATAGACTTATATAATGCAGTTACAAACTGCATTATATGGCAGTGTAGATGGAGCAAGAGAAACTTCCTTTTACACAATCTTTTCAAATTAATTTGGACTCCCATGTTTTTCTCTGCCTAGCTTGAATTTTTGTAGCAGCATCAACATTGAGATATGACAAAGGAGAGATTGAGAAAACAGATATTCAGTTTTGAGCAGCAGCAGGATGTCTGTAGTAAATAATGCAATAACCTTTGGGTTGGGAAAGAGTAGAGTGCTCCAATAACTAATCCTGTTTCTTATACAGACATGAATATGTGTATGTTCTGGCAATATGGTACTTTTATATGTGGCAAATAATATAATTCTACAAATTGAACAACTGTTTCCTTTGTTTGTTTGTTTTTTCCTCAGACAACTGCAAAAAGTTTGGCCTTGTATTTGACAATGTTGTGGGTATTGTTGAAGTTATAAACTCTAATGATATTCAGATACAGGTAAACACCCTTTCATAATACAGGGAAGGGGCTTTTTAATTGTTAAACATATTTTAAATTATTTGTCCTCCCCCATAAAAACGTCTCCATGTTATAGATTTCTCTCACTATTAGGAGCCACTTGCTTCCTTCCTCACATAACTATGTATAGAGAAGCCTCTGAAATACCTTTCAGTTTGTGACACTGCTCTAGAATCTGGTTATCTTGGGAACTGAGTGGCAGTGTGGTCTAGCGGTTTGAGTTTTAGATTAGGGTTCAAATCCATGTTGGCCATGAAAACCCACTGGGTGATCTTGGACCGGTCACACTCTCAACCTCAGAGAAGGGCAAAGGCAAGCCTTCTGTGAACAGATCTCACTAAGGAAACCCCATGATAAGATCTTTTTAGAGTTGCCATTAAGTTGGAAATGTCTTGGAGGTGCACAGCCATCTTGAGAACACAAAGTCTTCTTAGATCTGGTATCAGGGGCTGGGTTACTTATTGAGTGGCTTCTTTAAATATTTATCTTGTGCTTATTGCATTGATTTTATGTGACAGGCAAAAACATTTTTCCCTGCACTCTTGTTGTTTATTCATTCAGTCACTTCTGACTCTTCGTGATCTCATGGACTATCCCACGCCAGAGCTCCCTGTTGGCCGTCACCACCCCCAGCCCTTTCAGAGTCAAGCCAGTCACTTCAAGGATACCATCAAATCAGCACTCTACTTAATTCTATTCCCACCACATTGAGTGCAGTTTTTAAGTGAGCAATACCTGTTGGGTCGCTTCTTTATTCCCATGCCTAGGAAATATTCTTGCTTTGAAGACCAGTTGTCCACATTACACTGGCAGGGACAAGGGCTGACCTTTTAAATTCCCATTTGGTGACAGACTTTTCTGGAAACGTGCCTAAACCGATATGGGTGGGTGGGTGTGGCACCTGCTGATGTTAAAATCTTTTGTTTGGATTGGTTATAAAATAATTGTATTGTTTTAGGTATTAGGGAAAGTGCCAACCATTTCAATTAACAAGACTGAAGGCTGCCATATATACCTCAGTGAAGAGTCATTAGACTGTGAGATTGTGAGTGCTAAGTCATCCGAAATGAACATCCTTATCCCACAGGATGGTGATTATGTAAGTATGGCATTTTAACGCTGTTTAATATAAACTGATGAAATATACACCAAATGTCACCAATGAACAGATAATAGATCTCTGCGTGATTGGGGCCTTCACATTAAAACATATTCAGGTTGTTATTAATGAAACATTTATTTACCAAGAATGTATTAAACTCAGCATCTGACTCAATATCATAGCATCATACAACAACATGAAAACCTAACAATAAAAAGCACATTAAATAAAAAAAATGAGAAGCTTAGGATTCTCTCTGTGTGTAAATAATCCCAAGTCATTCAAAAATAGTCACTATAGAAACAGAAGCCATTGTAGAACAAAAGAAGTATTCCTGAAAGTTTTTTAAAAGAACGTCTCAGGAGATGTATATAATGGTCATGTAGCCCTCTTTCATACATATTACTCGAAACAGATCCCCTAGAGTTCAGTGAACCTTCCCAGCACTAGGCATGAGGAGCACTTTGAATATATACTTAATTGTGAGTAAGCCACATCAAACTCAAGTTTGAGTAGTACAAAGATCTCATCTACATAGGCTCAGAAGCCTGCAGTGACCATGAAGTTGCTCCTGAATGTCTACGTGACATCTAGGGACTTTCAGCCCTTATCATGGGGGAAACGGGGAATATTCTGAAGTTTGGCTAAACTCCAGACTGGTCCTATGCTTTGGGCACAGCGTGGACAGCACAATTGGTCAGTCAAACGCAGGTCAGTCCACTGTCCCCATGGGCCACTACTGCCATCATCAGTGCAGGAAAAAGGGGATAGATTGAGCCCGTGTTCACCAAGAGAGCTCCTGACTGTTGTGGCGGTCCCATGTTGACATCAGCAGAGGGGCTTGGAATAGGCATTCATTAAATGGCCAGTGTAGATGTGCACAGGACTGACTGTTCAGTAATGTTTACTTCTAAATGAAATACAGAAAGCATAAATTTAGGCCTCATGTTTAAAAGGTCAATAGAGATTCACTGGAGATACTGGAGACAAGGTAGAATAAGGAATTGAAGCACCTTCAAAAATGAGAAAAATATTGCAAATAAATAAAAAGCATAAAAAGTGAAATTAAGTTATTTGTATTTTAAACATCAATACATAAGCAATTACTATTTTCATATAATGTATAAAATCTTCCCTGGAGTTTTCAAATAATACATTGTTTACGTGTTTGATTCATAGAAGCCACAGGCAATTTCACATTACAGTACCAATTTGGCAAGCATAATGTCATGGAAAATAGGAATTATTCTGTGTCAATACTTTTTTTTGTATTTTAGCTACCCTGACTTCAGTTCTATAGAGCATATTAAGACAAGAAATGACAAATTAAATAATGCAACCTTTTTTTAAAAAAATCCCACATTTGTTCTCTCTGTATATCTGCATGAAGAAATATCTTTTATAATCTAGGCATGCCTGAGACATAAAAACCTCACTTGTGTCACTGATACCATTGCATCTGTTTATATATCTACTTGTGTAGCCAACTGACATTGTCAATCTTGTCATTGTACAGAAAGAATTCCCTGTTCCTGAACAGTTCAAGACATCATGGGATGGATCCAGATTGGTCACTGACCCTACAGAGATTGTGGCTTAACTGCATCGGCCCGTACAGAAATCACTGTCCACAATCTCCAAAAAAAATCAAGGTTAAAGAAAACAGCACCAAGAAGAACTAGATGTAGCACTAGTTTGTACTGCAGTGAATAAGCCCTTCAAGCAGATACTCTGTGCCCCCAAACTACAGGCGCTATTACACATGGTACTTTTCCTGCATTTAGATAATCTTTGTGTAGGAACAAAAAGTATACTGATGTACACAGTTATGTTTCAAAAAGGCATGAATGTTTTTTTGCCATGTACTTAGGATCCACTCTGCACAGTTCCAGTACAGTACACTTTTTTAACGCATCCTGATATTCTTAAAATGTCAGCAATTCGCCTTTGTTCGCAAATAGCTTATACATAATATGTGAATGTAACCATTCAGGTTATTGGCTATTTCACTGAATATGTTAGGCCAAATGTCTGCATGATACACTTTGTAATGTTTCAATGCATTCCTTTTTTATGTTTTGGCTGGTAATGAAATGAAACAGTATGAATATGGTGAGACGTTCAGGTTAGATTTGAGATCCTGTGTGCATCGTATTGTGATGCTAGACCCTAGAAAGTCTGTAGTTCTAGAAGATCCTTGTGCTTTCAAAAGTGGAAATGTACAACTCTAAGCACTACATTTGCTAATAGGAAAGAGAAGCTGAATATTTCAATTACTTATTTTGAACAATGTGGGTTTGCTGGTATCTTGAAGTTTTGTTCAAGTTTGAACTAATTTGTTTCAATGTTAGTTTAAACTAAGTTTTTATCTGGATATTTAATAACATGTCCTTGAATTGTGGGCCATTTTTCTCTTTACAGCTGTATATAGTTCATAATGTTCATTTAGCTGTACAATCTGAACTGAACATATACTTTGAAATATGGGGCCATTATTTCTTTCTGAGCTGTCATATAGTACATATTTTCACAAACAACCTATGAATTAACCTTACCTCTTGAAATGATGGAGCATGGAGTTTCATATGGTTACTGGTAGATACCTTTCCCAGTGCACAAGCAGCCCCTAGCCTCAGTCATTTGCAAGGCCTAATGAGATATTCTCCATTTGCAAGGATATTTTTTGGATTTGTTTGTGGTTCGAACTAGTTAGTTAAACTTGATAGGACATTAAACCATTTGTAACTTTTTTGTGTAATTGTAATATGTTGCCATCATGAAATATGCTGCTTTGAAATTGGGCCCATCATTTTGAAATACCCTATGTATTAAATCTTAATCAAGATATAGTATGAATGAGAACAATTCTATATTTTAAAAGAAACATTGCATTCTTTAATGTTGTGCTTCTCTTCGTGTTTATATCTAATAGCCCCATTATGGATGCACCATTGAATTACATCATTCTCATTATCTGTGACACTGGCAGATTTTGCAATAAAATTCAGTTCTAGAATGCTGAAGATTAAAATGGCTTCTAACAATGCAGAAGTTATCATCCAAGTTATAGATATTTCTTCATGTAAGGGGAGTAGTTCAACTTTTATTTTGAGTTGTAAGGTGTGGATGCAAATGGTCAAAATTGTACACAAAGAAAAGCCATAGATTACTACTGAATAAATTCTGAACTCAGACTGAAGGGACTGTACTTTTTGAAAGGAAGGTTTGGCTATGTAGTCCACACCATTCCTTTTTAACACGAATGTGAAGTGTAGTACATGTATGATCTCAGCACACAAGACTTAATTATGATACCAATTTTGATTACTTGTAATACTTTGTAACAGTTAAATTATGGTAATACACTTGCAGAGATAGAGATCAGGATTTAAATTGTGCCTACTGCACCTTACAAGGTACATCATCCTTTTTTTAATATTATATTTGATTGTAATATCTATATAGATTTACAACAAATAGTGCGTATATAATACAGTTTTGCTATCTAATGTTTGATCTATATGTAATGTTGTGGCTTTAGTACATGCCATTTTTCAATAGTAAACTTATCACATGAATGAAAATAAAAATGTAACTTGTTTACATTGTAGAAGGAATGATTTATTGTATAAGCATATATATTATTTTTCATACAGATATAAGTCTAGTTTCATGAGCTATATTAGAAAGCTTTTTAAAATATCTTTAGGTAATTTTTTTACAACTAATAAATCCTAGTTTTCATATACACAGACTGTATTCAGATGTAAGAATTTACCATTATTAGAAAAAACTGCTCCATTGATGTGACTATAAAAAGATTACAATATTTTGTTTCTATTTTAAATTAATCACAGTTTAACATGTTACCTGAATACTAAAGTGTTGTCACCTGGGGTTTGTTAAAACAAACCAGTTTCCTAAACTATTATTTGAAGTTGACTTTTATTACAGATTATAATAATTAAAGTTAATTATAATTTAGGGCTGAGAGGACTAGCTAAAATGCTACAGGATAATGGCCACGTGAGAAGTATGTCACTTTTTTTTTTAAAGTTTTACTATGGTTTTTTCTTATAAAGATAAATCATATTTAGTTTTAAGTCTGAACAAAGCCATTATTATCATTTGGTGTCATCAACAAATCCATCCCTACTAGGAATAGGACTCCCAACATACAGTACTGGGAACTGTTTGGCCTTTGCAATATTGGGTGAAAATGTCTATGCTATTTCTGAACAGCCCTAGCTTCTTCCCCTTCCCAGAATCCCATGGGTAGTTTTCATGAGCTAATGAAGCTCCATCCTTGGAGGCTTTTAAACAGAGGCTGGATTGCCATCTGTTGGGTGTGCTTTGATTGTGCTTTTATCCTGCATGGCAGGGGGTTGTACTAAATGGTCCACGTGGTCTCTTCCAGCTGTATTATTCTGATTCTATGAAAGGGCAAGAAGACCAGCCAATCAGCAGTTGTTAGTTGGCGAAGAGATGGAGCTAAAGTCTTCATTTATTCCACTTTCTGGCAGTATATGCCACACTCTCAGCAATTTGCTGGCAATTCACACCAGAACTTTCTGTCTTAAGATTTTCTAAAAATTCAATATTTTCGAATGCGCTCCTTGATTCCTGCCCCTTTGTGGGTTTCCTGATAAACATTTACAATAAAGCATCCGGTCAAAGAACAGATCAGATTATGTGGAATCGAGAAGACACAAAACTTCAGTCTCAAACAAGACTACAGTATTGTTTTGGGATCTCACAGTAGGAGGAACCTAGAAACAAAAGCCTATTGCTCTAAGTGTATAATTCAGCTTGTAATTAAATTTTGTTAGGTCCTTGCTCCGACAGTCTTAGGGTGTATCTATACTGCAAAATTACTGCAGTCTGATACCTCTTTAACTGCCATGGCCCAATGCCATGAAATCATGGGAGTTAGTAAGTATTAATAAGGTCTTGAGCCTTCTCTGCTGAGGAGCACTGATGTCTCACGACTACAACTGCTGGGATCCTTTAGCAGTTAAAACGATGTCAAAATGCATCATTTCTACAGTGTAGATTCACCCTAGGTATGTTGCATCACAATGCCCAGGAGATTCCCAGTAGAGCCCCCTTAACAACTATTGTAAAAGGGCGGGATTATACCACAGAGTATAAGGACTAGCGAAAGTATGCCTCCAGGATTGTTTACAAGTATCCCATGGGCCCCTATGCTCCCCCACAAGCACTCTTTGACATAATTGCTAAAGACCTCATAAAGCTCCACCTCCCATAACTCCATATCAGTGAGAGGCGGCAGTTAAAAGAGATGTAGATGCACCCTCAGTTAAGTTCATGAGTGTGGGATTGCTCCTGAAACAGTGCTTTAAAAAATAGCAGAGATTGCATTACACACATTTTCATGAAGAATTGTTTTAACTCAATTTTGACGTTTTGCAGATGACCACCAGACTATCTAGGCCAGGCATGGGCAAACTTTCTGACTTGGGGGCCACATGCTAGAACTCCCTGCTAGGACTGGTTGCCTGGTAATGGAAGGAAAGAGAGAACCAAGGAAGGCTAGGATGGTCAGAGAGAGAACAGGGGCACAGACAGCAAGGCAAACACCATAGGAGTGTTCACCCTTCCCTATATCATCCAAAGATAAAAAATAGATATTTTTGGCTGGAGTTACACTTAAAAATTTGGCATATTCCAACATATAAACAAATGCAACCTAAGAACAAAGGTACAGAAGCTATCTTGTTTGTAACTTTGGGACTGCTGTACATCTGACTTTTGCTTGTCAACCAAAGTTGAGGTACTGATTCTATATTGCCACCAGGTGGCAGAAAGCCACTGAATATTAAACAATTCCCCAAAACTCCCTGAAGAATGTAACACAGACTGGAAAATATAGAATCCAGCTGCAATCCTGTATATGATGTTGGGGGTTTTTGCCCAGTGCACTTAGACCAATGAAAAACACACCAGAGAGGAGATCCAACTCTTATTTCTCTCTGTGCAGAATAAAGGTGCTAGGGAGTATTTTCCAAAATTAGCACAAAGCCAGCATAATATCTAGATTTTCTCATGAAAATTAACAGAACAGTCAGCATTATTTGCATCTACACCTTACATCATTGCAAAAATCTCACATATCCATGTGTGTAGATATATATTCACATCTCATAATAATAATTGGGGGAGAGGGGGGCATTGCCATACTAAAATCTCCCCCAGGCATGATTTTTAGCATTTAAATGAGCTCTAGAACACTATAGTTGAAAATCAACCTGCTAAATGGGTACATTCTCAATATTTGGCTCTTCTTTCTTAATTACTGCCTGGTACCTATTTATACTTTCTTATCTTAGAATATACAATCCAGAACCATGAGAGCAATCTAAGAGGCCTTTGAAATGAAAATAACTCAAGCTCATTTGCTATATAGTCTTTTAAAATGAAACTGTATTTCTTTTAGCATAAACAAATTAGTAGGTAAAAGATCTCATTGGATTCAGTATGGCTTACATTTGAGTAGACACGTGGGATTGCACTGTCAATACGTTAATTATTTAATGAAACATGTTATATTTAAATGCAAATATATCTTCTAAAAACCACATATGCAATTATGTAGTATGTACATGATCAGTAGAGACATCAGACTGGCAACAAAGATACGCCTAGTCAAAGCCATGGTATTCCTTGTAGTAACCTACGGATGTGAGAGCTGGACCTTAGGGAAGACTGAGCGAAGGAAGATAGATGCTTTTGAACTGTGGTGTTGGAGGAAAGTTCTGAGAGTGCCTTGGACTGCGAGAAGATCCAACCAGTCCATCCTCCAGGAAATAAAGCCCGGCTGCTCATTGGAGGGAAGGATACTAGAGACAAAGTTGAAGTACTTTGGCCACATCATGAGGAGTAATACAATGGTTGCTGATGACACGATAAATAAATAAATGAGGAGACAGGAAAGCCTAGAGAAGACAATTATGCTGGGGAAAGTGGAAGGAAAAAGGAAGAGGGGCCGACCAAGGGCAAGATGGATGGATGGCATCCTTGAAGTGACTGGAATGACCTTGAAGGAACTGGGGGTGGTGACGGCCGACAGGGAGCTCTGGCGTGGGCTGGTCCATGAGGTCACTATTTGAATAAATGTAAAGGCATAGAGCTAGGCTTGAACTGAGCACCAGCAAAATAAAAACATACCTTTATCAGAGAACAGGATTATAACTGACAATCAAAGCAATTACTGACCTGACCTATTGCTTGAATGCAAACTATCCTGTTCTGCCCTTTGCCATTACTCCATTTACCTTCTGCCTGGTTAAGGGTTTTGGAGCAACTGAAAGCTTATACAGCATTTGTGACCCCCAAGAAGTCTCCCTCTCTGCCCGCTTTGTTTTGGCTGAAGGGCTTTTGGTAGGTATTTTTTTTCGTGTCAGGAAAAACTTGAGAAACTTCAAGTTGCTTCTGGTGTGAGAGAATTGGCCGTCTGCAAGGGCGTTGCCCAAGGGACGCCCGGATGTTTTGATGTTTTACCATCCTTGTGGGAGGCTTCTCTCATGTCCCCGCATGGGGAGCTAGAGCTAACAGAGGGAGCTCACCCGTGCTCTCCCCGGATTCGAACCTGCAACCTGTCAGTCTGCAGTCCTGCCTGCACATGGGTTTAACCCACTGCGTCACAGGGGGCTCCTTGGTGGCGCATGCGCCTCCCAAGAGTCAAAGCGAAGTGGGACATTCCAATCCGTAACCTGATCTCTGCCCTCTCCCTGTAGCCCCACCCCTGAAATGTTGACGTCACAGCGGGTTGGTTGCGTCAGGAGGGAAAAAGAGGACAGTGGGCGGGGACCTGGGCGTGGGACGCGCATGCGCAGTGGGCAGCTCAGGCAGTGACAGGGCCGGGGCTATGGCAGAGCCCTCGGAAATGCCTTCTGTCGACGGCGGTGGTCCTGAGGGAGGAGGAGAAAGAAGGAGAAGGGCCGGTGCTGCTTCTTCTTCTCCTTCCTCCTCCTCCGTTCCTGCTGCCGCCTCGGAAGCCCTCAGTGCCGCAGAGTATTCCCGGCGCGTCCACCAATGGCTGTGGGACTCCTACTGCGGTTACCTGAGCTGGCAGACCAGCGGCCTGGCTGCCCTCATGGCCGGAGCCGTGACGACGACGACGACGGCGGCGGGCGCGGCCTCCTCCACATCTCCGAACCCGGGCGCGTGCTGTTACTACGGCAACGTCCCCACCTGCTACTACCTCCTCGCGACCGCCGCTCCAGAGGGCAGGCCCGCCCCCGTTGCCGGGCAACCGCCGCCCCCAGCCGCTAGGCACGCGCCCCCGGCTCCGCGCGCCGGCCCCGCCCCCAGCAGCGTCTCCAGGGAAACCACCCGGCCCGCAGGTGAGCAGAGTGGGAGAGGGCCCATCATCAACAACAACACACAGACTGGGCCTATCTGAAAGGCCCCACATTTGGTTACTTGTGGAGCATTTTGGATAAGGGATACACAACCTGTATGTCGTTGTTATGTACAGTATTATTTATTTATTTGCGACATTTATATGCCGCCCTTCTCACACCGAAGGGGACCCAGAGTGGCTTGCAAGATATATATACATAAAATCTATATATATAGAAATGCTCTGTGCATAATGAGTACCTTAAAAACAAAAAAAACCAATGAACAAAATCACACCAAATTTGGCAACAAAAACGTCTCACAACACAAGGAGTGATCATCACTCAAAAAATTATGATTTTGTCATTTGGGAGTTGTAGTTGCTGGGATTTATAGTTCACCTACAATCAAAGAGCTTTCCGAACTCCATCAACGATGGAATTGACCCAAACTTGGCACACAGAACTCCCATGACCAACATAAAACATTGGAAGGGTTTGGTGGGCATTGACCTTGAGTTTGGGAGTTGTAGTTCACCTACATCCAGAGAGCACTGTGGACTCAAACAATGATGGATCTGGACCAAACTTGGCATAAGCATTCAATACGCCCAAATATGAACACAGGAAGTTTGGGGGAAATAGACCTTGACATTTGGGATTTGTAGTCCACTGGGATTCACAGTTCACCTACAATCAAAGAGCATTCTGAACCCCACGAACGACAGAATTGGGGCAAACTTCCCACACAGAACCCCCATGACCAACAGAAAATACTTAAGGCCATCCAATCCAACTCCCTTCATCAGGGCAAGAAAACGTAATCAAAGTCCTCCTGACAAAGAGCCATCCAGCCATAGATAGATAGATAGATAGATAGATAGATAGATAGATATGATTCTCACACACAGAGATATAGTATCATAGATTTGAAAGGGACCCTTAAAGAAGGACAATGATATGTTGCATGTTCCAGGGTGGGCAAACCAGACACTCTCCACATCAACACTGACTAAGAAACAGCAAGAAATACTGTTTACCCACAAGCATAAAGAAATTACATATATTAGAAACCAGCACTTTCTCATTACTTTATTTTCCAGATCAACAGACTGGGCCACAGCAACGCGTGGCAAGGGACAGCTAGTTTATTATAATATTAATAATATTATAATAAAACTTTATTTGTACCCCGCTACCATCTCCCCATGGGACTCGGTGCGGCTTACATGAGGCCAAGCCCAAAATACATCAAACAACATCAATAACACAGCATTAATAAAACAATCAATAAAATACAAATCATATAAATCACATAACAAAACAACTATCAGTAGTGAAATATAAACAGTTTTAAAATGGCTGGGCCAAATGTAATAGATTAAAATTGAAAATATGCTGACGTGAACAGGTAAAAATATAACTGGATAGGATTTTTCAGAGAGAAACGAGGGAACAACAATCCATCCTACGTCAGTATTAAAGTGCATTATGAGGGCATATTGCTGAGAGATCTCCTTATTCTGGGAAGGCACACAGGAACAACCACGTTTTCATGCTCCTCCTAAAGACTGCCAACGTTGGAGCATGTCTAATGTCCCTGGGAAGTGAGTTCCAGAGTCGAGGGGCCACTACCAAGAAGGCCCTCTCCCTCACATAGTACAATATCAGTATTAAATATTACTATATTGTACTATATCATTATATTGTAATATTATTAGTAATATTATATGTAATATGTAAAAATTATATCATATTATTAGTAATATTATATTGCATTACATTATGATATTATAAATATTATATGTATATACAATATATTATATTACATTACATTACATTACATTACATTACATTACATTACATTACATTACATTACATTACATTACATTATATTATATTATATTATATTATTAGCATAGCACAGGAGACAAGGTGGAACTGTCCCATGGCCCCCTCTCTTTTCACTCTGGCCCAGAGCGGCAGTTGGTGCTGGGGGAGGAGGGGTCCCCAACTGATGACATATGCAGGAGACAAGATGGAACTGTCCCCTGGCCCCCTTTCTCTTCACTCTGGCCCAGAGCAGCAGTTGGTGCTGGGGACCCCTCCCCTCAGCAGTCCCCAAGTTAATTATCAAAATAGGTTTGGTAGGTTTGTTCTTGAGTTGAATTTCTTTGTACGTTGGAACAGGGACATTTTTTAAATGTAACTCCAGCCAAATATACATATTTTTAAGCTTTGGATGACACAGGAAAGAGTTAACACCCCCGTGGTGTTTGTTTTCCTTTCTATGCCTCTATTCAGAAGATCTCATCTCACTTTGTGTCCCTGTAGGAATTGGATTTTGAAAAATGTGGCTTGTTATGGAAACAAGGATTGGTGAAAAAGCTTTAATGGAGACCCTTTTCTCCATGATAACTCTTCCAGGGGTGAATTTCCTTTCCGAGGGGCAGATTTCATGCACTTCTTGTTATCTCAGCCCTGTTCTTAACTAGTTGTTTGTAAGTTGGATGTTTGTAACTCAGGGACTGTCTCTATATGCAAACATTCCTAAATCTCAAACACTTCTGGTTCCCTCAAAGATTTTGGTGAAGGGTTACTCTGCCTGTAGCAGGAGATATAATGGCACAGATGGGTTTGAGGGAAGCTCCAGGGCTGGAGTAGGTATTTATTTATAGAAGCAAGTTGAGGGTACAGTTAAAATGCATTTAAAAACACAAACAAAGTTAGGCTAAATGTCCTTTGATCAGAAGCTGGCCACTTGGAGCACCACTGGTGTCGCTGTGAGAAGGTCCTCCATTGTGGATGTGGCAGGGCTCAGACTGCATGGTAATAGGTGGCCTGTGGTTTGCTCTTCTCCGCACTCGCATGTTGTGGACTCCACTTTGAAACCCCATTTCTTAAGATTGGCTATGCATCTCATTGTGCCAGAGTGCAGCCTGTTCAGCACCTTCCAGGTCGTCCACTCTTCTGTGTTCCCAGGAGGGAGTTTCTCATCCAGTCACAGCCACTGATTGAGGTTCCAGGTTTTAGCCTGCCACTTTTGGACTCTCGTTTGCTGAGACATACCTGCGAGTGTAGATCTTAGCTGTTTCTTAATTTAAGCCGTTGGCATGCTGGTGAAGGAGCAAAAGAAAGAGTATTGAGTATAAAGGGTTCTTGTTGATGGAGATGTTTATGGGAACAGCGAGAAGAGAGGAGGCTCTGTGATTGTTACAGGAGAAGGAAGAGGCATTTAAAGAATCATAGAATCATAGAACTGGAAAGAGACTCCAAAGGCCATCCAGCCTAAACCTCTTTCTGTCATGCAGTAATTCACAAACCTTCGCCAAGAAATGGCCCTCACAACCTCTATTTAAAAACCTCCAGAGAAGAAGACTTCCATCACCTTCCAAGGAAGCATATTCATTCCACTGCCAGTCAGCAGGAAGTTCTTCCTATTTATGTAGAATCTCTTTTCCTATAATTTGAATATATTGCTCCATGTCCTAGTCTCCAGAGAAGGAGGAAACAAGCTTGCCCTCTTCTCAATGTGACATCCTTTCAGATATTTAAACATGACTACTTCATTTCTTCTTGATAACTGCTTTTCCTGGCTAAACATACCCAGTTTCCTAAACTGTTCCTCATAGGGTATAGTTTTTTATGGGCTGTATTTTTTTGTTGGTTAAGGCCATTTAATAAAAAGCTTGTTTTTTGTTTTGTTTTTTGCAGATTAGGATGTATTTCCATATACACACATACATGTGCTGCTACAAACCTGCACAGATGCAAAGGGTTTGTTGACATAGGAGAGAAGGCACCCACAATGCATCTGCTAATGTTTAGTGTGCCACAGGAGATTCTTGTTGCAACACAGTGCAATTCTGTAATCTGTTTATGTATTTTCACTGGTAACTGAGTGTAGGATTGAAGCTGAACAAGGCTGCTCATCTAGAAATATCTGATACTGTTAAGGAATCTGGGTGTGTTGCAGTGTGGGCACATTGGATAAATAAGTGGAGCAATACTGGAGTCCAATACAAAGAATAGCGAGAGTATCTACTCTGCATTCTCTTTTTTGTTTAGTTTTCATAATTTTTCAGAGTCAGCAGTGAGCTATATGAAGAATGCCTCATTTTCTTCTTTTAACTCCTTCACATTATATGTTCTTGCTATAGTCTGATAAAAAGTAGTATCCCTGAAATATTCCATGACAGAAGTATTAGCCTAGATTCATGCATTTAAAAAATGAAACATGAAATAACATAAATAATTAATCCACCTGATTAGAAGTATGAGAGATTTCAACATTTACCATCAACGCACTCTAGAAATAATCCCCATATTAATTGATCTGCTTTTAGAGCAATACAATTCAGAATAGTTTGTGGTTTGAGTCCCAGGGGCTTTGAACCAGAGATCAGTTTTTTTCACTCATCTCTTTCTTTTTGAACCTGACTCGTTATTCATAGGCAGTGTGTCAGTGGATATTGCCCAGTTGCTTTCACTTGCAACTAAACAAGCTAAGGACTTTGGTCTGTTTGTTTGTCATAATACCTGAGCTCTGCAGGTTTGTGCTTTAGCTGCTCCATTTGTAAGCCGGTGCTGATGGTTCATCACAGTTTACTGTTAAAAGTCAAATGCGTCTACTGAGTTCCTAGATTTTGTTACTTAAACTTTCTTAGATTCCATCCATGTATCCTAGTTTTCCAGTGGTTTATAATAAAACATAGATAGAAGTTTCCACAAGTTAGTAATATGAAAAAAATCTTAATTCCAAAAGTCGTCTTCATGCCTCTACAATACAAGCTTCATGGAACAAAGTTTGTGTGGTATTGGTAACAGTATTGATAAGAGGCATTGAATGCATGTGTTGTTTCTGAATGGTTTTTGAATGGACATCTGCCTCCAATATTAATACAGTTTGACACTACTTGGACTGCCATGGCCCAGTGCTATAGAATTGTGGGAGTTAGCTTTATACGGTCTTGAGCCTTCTCTACCTAGGAGTGCTGATGCCTCACCAAACTACAACTGCTGGGTTCTTTAGCACTGAGCCATGGCGATTAGAATTGTGTCAAAGTGCATTATTTCGGCAGTATACTGTAAATGAACCCTAGGTGTGTGTGGCATCACAATGGCCAGGAACTGTGGAGCGCCCCCCCCCCTCCACCCAACAGCTTGCAGTATTGTGAAAGGGTGGGTTTGTGCCACAGGGTATAAGGAGTAGACAAAGTATGCCTCCAGATTGTTTGTAAGTGTTCCCTGGGCCCCTATGCTCCTCCCATTTTTTTAGCAATACCTCCTAATGTGTGTGTGGGCAATTTCACGAGGAGTACATCTAGACTGTAGAATTAATGTCGTTTGATATAGTTTGAACTGCCATGGGTCAAGCCGTGTTGTAATGGGAGTTGTAGTTTGATAATAACAATAACAGCATCAATAACAATAATTTTATTTCTTACCTGTCTCTCCCCATGGTTCAAGGTGTGTCACACCATAGTAAAAAACACATAAATAATATAAAAATTCAAGAAAAACACACATTAAAATGCTGTTCCATAAAAGATAAATATCAAGCATTTCTACACATTTATCACACAGGGCAGAGACCCTTTAGTTTGTAATGGTCATTAGCTGGTGCCCCACCAAATTACAAATCCCAGTTTCCATAGCATTGAGCCAAGGTAGTTAATGTGGTGTATATTAATTCTACAGAGTAGGTGCACCCTTTGTTTCCTCTCCTTGGCTGTTTTATGCCTGAAAAGTTTTTATTCCAAATCAGAAGTGACTTTGAATGTATTTCCTGGTTGGAAAGTAATATTTCCTGGGTCTAAAGCACCTGGAAGAAGTGTAGGTTCAGAACAAATTTTTAATAAAAAAAAAAATTGGTTGAGATGGGTGACAGGGGCAAACCCCTGAGGTCCTGTATTGAGCAGGTATGTCCTGAGGACTTTAAGTAAAAACCCACCCCTGCCATAAGGCTGCACTATGAATAGTGTCATAAAATGCCATTCAGCCTGGTGTGGTTTCCAGTTACCACCCTGTTTTTCCTAACATGATGCCAACAACTATAATGTTGCATCAGTTATAGACAGTTGTGAATGATTATGTAAAGTGAAATAAAATTTAATTAAGCTGATTTTTATATAAAGTGTATTATCAGGATGTGTGTTAAATGTGTTTTGCTTTGTTTTCTTTACAAAAACAGGTCGTGAATATATTATTCCATCCTTGGCTCATAGGTTTATAGCAGAGATGGTGGATTTCTTTATTCTGTTCTTTATCAAGGCAACTATAGTTCTGAGTATTATGCATCTCAGTGGAATAAAGTAAGTTGGCAGTATGTAATGTAACTATAATAAGTTTTACTCCTCTGCTTCTTGAGACTATATATATTGTATAATGTCCATTGTGGTAGCAAACTTATTTTTTTTTTGTTCTTCCTTTTTGTTGTCACCTTTTAATTCTCTGCATTAATTATATATCAGTTATTTTTGTCTCTGCACAAAGGTCACTTAACATTTGTATTTAGGTTTCTGACCCTTTTCCTGTTGCCTTTCACCTTGCTTCTCATCTGTCCTTAATTAACTGCTTAAAGATTTTCTCTGTCCCTATACAGTAGTTCAGAATTTTCTGGAAATATAGCACTGCATTGACCAATAAACCTTGGTATACAACACTGAAAGGTTTAACTTGTTTGCTTATCTCATAAGAATAGCAGCAGAAGTAACATTTATATACGATTAAAGTTATTCATGACAATATTATTAACCAGCCTTCTCTAAGGCGAGTTTTACCAGATATTTTAGGTACCGTCTACATTGCCATGTAACCCAGTTTGAATTGCATTATAATGGTCAGTGTACTCATATAATGTAGATCAAACTGCATGGAACTGGATAATGAGTCTGCACTGCCATGTCATCTAATTCAGTAGTTAATCTGCATTCAGAAACTGAATTATATGTCGACCATAGACAACAGCTTCTTGGATTCTATGCTGCCTCGGGTTACCTAATGGGAGGTAGACAAATTCATTGGGAACTATCATGTTTAGGAGGGGTGTTGCAAACTAGAAAGCAGTCCCGTTGAATGCTGAATGTTATTTTAATCATACTGACAATGTAGTACTGAAGCATGCTTAAATCCAGCCAGTAGGGTCATTACAGAAGAGATATTCATCTTGAGGTCTCTTGTATTTTATTTCTTCATTATGTTCACTTTTGTAAATGTGAGGTGCTATTGCAGTTATTACATTTTTTTTTCCGTGTCAGGAGCGACTTGAGAAGCTGCAAGTCACTTCTGATGTGAGAGAATTGGCCATCTGCAAGGACATTATCCAGGGGATGCCCAGATGTTTTACCATCCTGTAGGAAGTTTCTCTCATGTCTTCACATGGAAAGCTGACAGACAGGAGCTCACTCCAATCCCCAGATTCGAACCGCCGACCTTTTGGTCAGCTGTTTAATCCATTGTCCTACCAGGGGCTCCTAGTTATTAAAGATGAAGTAGAGGAAATTCCTTATTATATAATGACTATATATTTTGCCTACATTTAAACTATAGCAAGAGTAAATAGTATTGAGTTAATGTGATCTAAATATAACTGAGATTATCTAAGATCTAATTAATTCATTAGCAGTATGTGTGTTGAATTACCTCTACTTAAGATCACATTTTCTATCCACTAAATGCGACTTCTATAACAGCAAAATGTTTCATTGATTCACAAAGCCTATATTGTACTGTGATATGTTATTATCTTACTAACATGAGATTTTGGATGCAGGGACATTTCTAAGTTTGCCATGCACTACATTATAGAAGAAATCGATGAAGACACGTCCATGGAAGACTTGCAGAAAATGATGGTAGTGGCCCTTGTCTACAGACTGCTAGTCTGCTTCTATGAGGTATTTAGACCCACTCTCCCTTAGTGGTCTAAGGCATGAGATCCTGCTTGTCAGATGGAGCTTATCTGATGGAGCTCCATTGTTTTCTTATGATGCTGTTCCCCCAAACTAGACAATGCCCCAAAAGAAAGGTTTCCAAGGAGCTTGGGATCAGGGTCCTGTGAAATGATGACTGCAACTTTCTCCCATTTTGCATGATGTGTTGGGATGGCTATCTGGAGACACCCTTTGGGGTCCTGCCGCAGTTGCTTGCCTCAGTGTGAGCACTGCAGTCGCCATTTCCCAGAACCTCAATCAGCAGTGCCTCAGAAAGCCTTTGACTGAAACATTGTCTAGTTTAAGAGGTAGTTGTTTTTTTTGGGATCATTAGCAATCATAAATGTGAATCTTAGAAGTTACAAGCTTGTAAAACTCATTTATGGCCTTGTAAATACTGAACATCATGCCTGACCTGTTTTAAAAATAATTCATGCCTTAACTTTTAGTTAACTTAAAGTATGCAAATATGGAGCACATTCAGATAAGTAGTTATAATTTGAGTTTGTTATTTGTCTGAAATGCTGTCCCAAAGTACCAGCAGAAGACCAGTCTGATAGTTGTTTCCATCCTCACTGACACATCTGTAGGTTACAGGCTATCCCCTCTAACCAAATAATCTGATTACATGAGATATTTATAATTCTAATCCAATTGCATCAGGATCCCTTAATTAATATACTGCTGCACAAACTAAAACACATATTTGTTTGTTATGAACTTTAAATTGGCTGTTATTTTCAGATTATATGTATTTGGGGAGCAGGCGGAGCAACTCCTGGGAAATTTTTGCTCGGTCTTCGAGTTGTAACATGTGATACATCTGTACTTATTGCACCAAGTCGCGTGTTAGTGATTCCATCTTCCAATGTCAGCATGACAACGTAAGTTTTACGTTTTTGTATCACCGTTTTGCCAGTAACTAACTAGAATATCACAATTTCCCCAAATAGTATTGCATTATTATTTTCTTATTTGTAGTGAGTTTGGCCTTAAATTGATTTTATTTAAAAGATTTGTTCTTCGTGATTCTAATCTAAAAGGTGCCATTATACTAGGAAAATGTTTGTAGCAATAATGAAAGTTACTTAACATGAGAACTTCATGTTCCTTGCTTCAAGGAATTAGGCAGCACATATCCCAGGAAGGGAATTATTTATCACCCTTAGGAATTATTGCTCTGATTTTCATACCACTAATAGGTAATGCTTCTGAAAGAAATAATGAGTATATAATGTGTAGAATCTGTAATTCTTCCTTAGTAATTATCTCATTAGATGTCTGTCGGGTAGAACTCTTTGGAAATGAATGAGCATTATAACAGATACATGCATTGCACCTTCCTTAGTGCTCACTGATCCATTGTATAATGCTAAAGAGATATATCACTCAAATGTATTTCATGTACATATTCTTACACGTTCATTTTAAAAAAATAGACAAATAATAGACTTATAAGCTATAGTGTTCACCTCCTTTCTATCAGTCAACCCCAATAGCATAATCTCTCTTCTCTGTCACTCAGTTTCCATTGGTTTTGAGCTTCCTCTAAATCAAGAATGGTAAAGGTGTGGGATAAATGAGTTTCCTGGGCCTAAAATAACACGGAGAGGATCAAAACTATTATGTAGCACTCTCTAGAACAGTGGTTCCCAACCTTTAGTTCTCCAGGTGCTTTGGACCTTAGCTCACAGAAATCCCAGCCAGTTTACCAACTATTGGGAATTGTGGGAGCTGAAATCCAAAACACCTGGAGGACCAAAGGTTGGGAACCAGTGTTCTAGAAGGTGCTTGTAAGCCAGAACAAAGCAAAACAAGAACTATTTGGGAGGTATAGTTTCCTGGGGACCAATCATCCTCATAATCTCTGGCAGTTACTATGTAAAATCTGAATCAAGAGGTGGTGTTAAACCCTTTGAACTGTAATGCTAGAGCACAATTCCACTGAATATTGTAATGTATTAAAATTTTAGACAATAGACAGCAATTGAACCATAGACAACACTTGGAACAAGGAATATGTAAATACCACGTAACAGCGCCACCAGAAAGGTGCTTAAAGTTATAAATATACCTTCCCAAAAGACACTTTGGCAAAAGAACGTCAATAGAACATAAAATTAAAGCAACAGATGTGCTTTGTGAGTAAGGAATGGGTATAATAATAATACCCTTAATTACAGAGCAATAATTGAAAACATAATACTGTATTTCTTCCATTCTAAAATGCACTCCTCCCATATAAATATCTCTACAACGGGGTGTGACTTAGAATTGCATTTTGCATATTTTTGGTGGTGGTGACAGGACTAAAATTATGGTGCCTCCTACAATTGAAGAAATACATCAATAAGGGGTCATTTGCACATTGGCTCTCATGAATGACAGATACAGACAATTTTTGGTTTTGTGATATAACATTATGTCAACATTCTCCAATCCCAGCAACAAACAGCAGCGCTTTATTTTTCTTCTTCTAGGTCTACAATACGAGCTTTGATCAAGAATTTTTCGATTGCTTCCTTTTTTCCTGCATTCATTACCCTACTGTTTTTCCAACACAACCGAACAGCCTATGACATTGTTGCAGGAACAATTGTGGTAAAGAGACCCAGTGTCAGATGATAGCCAAGGGCTCATTTCTATTGTTTCAACATGCTGATGGTAATTCCTTGGATTTCTAAAATTCACTCCGGAACAGTAGCAGAGAAGATGCGGAACATATTTCTTTCCTTCCAGCAATGCTATCCATTGGTGAAAAGTGGAACTGGTTTGAGAATATTTTGAACTGCACAAGAAAACAAGCTACCTTCAGAAGACTTGCTTTACAATTACACTGTCTGTGGAGTGTGAGAAATGCCAGCTTGGATTCTGTACCAAAAGGTAGCTGTTATTTTTATGAAGATCCAAAATTTTCTAATTGCTGGAGCGGTAACCAAAGGGATTAATAATAGTGTTCTCTACAAAGAATTGTGTTCTCCTATTTTGATGACAGTGAAGGATTTGCCACTTTATAAAAGCCTTATCAGGAACTGCTTACACAAGCATTGTGTTATTACAATACTCAAATTTCTCTATAAACAGTGTGTTAAATGTCTTGCATGATGTGGATATCTTGAACGTAATACAGATCATTGACTATGTCAGATATTATCAAGGAAAACAAGAAATACTGCTACTGGCGAAAATGTAAATATTGGTGGCTCTGGTAATAATGCTATAGACAAGAAACTTAAATGGCTTTCAATGGTTGATGAATTGTTTGGTATTCCACCTTGTTGGCTTGCATAGGCTTTCACAGAGAGAATATATCAAGATTATTTGCTTTCTTGTAAAAGCACAAAAAACATAAAATGTGTGTGTGAAAAATAGTTCCATTATGTATTTAATAAGAGATAAAACAAGCTTGATAAAAAGTGTTTATACATTGCATTTTACACCACTTTATAACAAAATAAGTTTTTTTAAAAAAAAAATCAGCCCAATTTCATTGCTGTGTAACAATACTGGGAATTTGTGCAAGATGTTTGGTATACTTTCACTTCATCTGGTTGTGCCGAGGTATTGAAATGACACCAGTTAGATAAAGCACATTTTACATTTTTTTTTATTTTTACATATGCAATAATACAAATTAAGTCATTATTGTGTTTTAGGCTTGACAGTGGCTGTTTGAGCCTTCTGATTTGCTTCTGGTCAACCAATTAGGAGGTAATGTACTCTAAGGAGCTGGGTTGCTTTGTAAAAGTTTTAATGCTTTTTTTGAAAAGGCTGAATACCATACTAAACATTCAAGATTCAGTTCTGTGACATTACTATGTAAGACAATGCAGACCTGATCTGTTGGTTTGTTTTAGAAAGTAAACTAAGCTGGCTGAAATTCACATAAACCAAGCACACACTCCTCCAGTTGGAAGATGGAGTATACAGTTCCATTCTGGCAGAACTATGCCACGTCTTGCCCTCCTATCCCGTGCAAGACTCACCATCTTTTTGGAGGATTGTGCTTTCATTTTACTTATGGCTACAGGGACGGGGCCAGGTGGCTCTCTGTTGCTCCCTGCTAATCACCAGCCACTAAATGGCCAAAGAAAGAGGGCACCGCAGTAAAAATGTGAGTCTTGGAGAGAGAGTTATGTGTGGGAGTGAATTTCTCCTACAGTGACAAAAAAAGACATTGGTTTGAGTTGGCCTTAATACTTGTGTTACTAACAAGATGCCAGCCATTGCTGTACTCAGGCTGTAGTCTTACCGCTTCATCACACTAGAGAATGAATTCACTTTAAATCCGGTTTCTGCCTCATGCAGAATTCTGGGGTTTGTAGTTTAGGGACAAGCCTTTAACAGCCTCACTAAACTACAAACCCCAGAATTCTGCAAAGGCAGAAATCAGATTTAAAGTGGATTCATTCTCTAGTGTGATGCTTTCCTTAAACATCTGAAGACAGAGCAAACAGATAGTGATGACCTTCCAGTTGCTTCATAGAATATACCAGCAGTATTCTTCCAATTAGACAAATGATTTAAGGGGCAAAACCGAGTAAGCGGCAGTTGACTAGGAAGAAGCAAAGTAATTTATATTCCTCCCTTGGCTAGTAATGTGTTCCAAGTAAATTTGGGTTCCTGGAAGGGATCCTGCGGGATTAAGTATCTCATGCTTGGTCTAAAATAAACCTTTAAATGAATAAAATGTGTATACTTTGATTGCCACCAAACTCTTATGCAAGAAAGTGGAAGTTGAGGCAAGTTAGTGTTTTGGCAGCAAAATGCAGGGTTGTTTCTACATTTTTCAGCAGTGGTCATAAATGCATCTTGAGGAAAAATGAATTACAGGAAGAACTAATTGAGGTGTAAGGGATTACCATTTTTTATGGTTCAGGTGTTACCAATATAATAATTACAACTTAACAGCACTTTCAGAGGTAACTGCTAAGGAATGAGATAGAGCTTTTTGAGCCCAAAGTACTATGCAGACATAGAGAAATCTCAATATTGCATTCTTTACTGCTTTGGCTTCACTTTCTGGTGGAGTTAGGTAATTCTGCTTTATTAACGGACTGGATTGTTAACTTCTGATGAGAAACAGTGGCATTTTTTATGCTCAAAAGAAGTAACAACTGAGGCAGAAATATGGAGTTGTGCTTAAAACGCAGCATGGTCTGTCTATCACATGACCTGGATATACTAACCAATAGACAGGTGGTAGGAAATATTAAGTTAGCCCATGGAAGAGGTGCCATTAGATAATAATAATAATGATGATGATGATGATAATCTTTATTAATATCCTGCCACCATCTCCCCGAAGGGACTTGGGGTGGCTTACAAAGCACTCCAAGGTGCACATACAACATACAATTGGTGAAAACAGTACAAAAATATAAAAGTCACATAAAATTAGTTACACAACTCCAGTCTTTTACGCCTGTGCTTTCCTCTGCCCAGTGTTACTGAGACTTAGGCATAATTTGCACACTGTTTTCAATGGCAGTTGATGTGAGGAAATTCTGCACCATTATTGTCAGTATTTTATGGGTGAGGTATTCACTTGTAGAATAACAAGAATAGAAACTGCTTTGGTCACTCGACATTTTAATACTGATGAACTCTATGTTAAGTACATCACTAGATGCAAAGAGATGAATTAAACTAGCCCATTATCTGCATGATTACTTTCATCTGCCATGTAAATAAACTAATTTGTAAAAATATTGTGCAATATGACTGTCTCTCCACAAGTAAGACTGATAATATAAAAAAAATCAACTTGATTGAACAAAATTTTCAATCAACAAAAACAAACACTCCTGTTAAGCTCTATAGCAGGGGTCCTCAAACTAAGGCCCGGGGGCCGGATACGGCCCTCCAAGGTCATTTACCCGGTCCTTTCTCAGGGTCAACCTAAGTCTGTAACGACTTGAAAACACACAACAATCCTATCTCATCAGGAGCCCCCGGTGGCGCAGTGGGTTAAACCCCTGTGCCGGCAGGACTGAAGACCAACAGGTTGCAGGTTCGAATCCGGGGAGAGGCGGATGAGCTCCCTCTACCAGCTCCAGCTCTTCATGTGGGGACATGAGAGAAGCCTCCCACAAGGATGATAAAACATCAAATCATCCGGGTGTCCCCTGGGCAACATCCTTGCAGATGGCCAATTCTCTCACACCAGAAGTGACTTGCAGTTTCTCAAGTCTCTGCTGACACGATCTAACTAGCCAAAAACAGGCCCACACTTCCCATTGAAATACTAATAAGCTTATATTTATTAAAATTGTTCTTCGTTTTAATTATTGTATTGTTTTAAAGTTTGTTTCTTTTGCATTACAAATAAGATATGTGCAGTGTGCATATTCATTCATGTTTTTTTCCCCAATTATAATCCAGCCCTCCAACAGTTTGAGGGACTGTGACCTGGCTCTCTGTTTTAAAAGTTTGTGGACCCCTGCTCTATAGTTTGGATGCTGCTGTTTTATTTCCTGTCCTCCTCACATTAATTCTACCAAAGGTGGAGTTTCTTTTATCTGGAATTCTGAAATCCAAAATATTCTAAATTGAGATAGTGACACAAGGCACACAAACTTTGATTCATGCACAAAATTATTCAAAAATATTGTGTAGAATTAAATCAAGCTGTGTGTATACAATGTACATGAAAGAGAAATGAATTTAATTTTTTAAAGATTTGGGTCCCACCCCCAAGATATTATGTACATATTTGCAAATGTAGGTTTCCCAAAATCTGGAAAAAAGTCCCCCAAACCTGATCCTCAAGCAATTTGTATAAGGGTTACTCTACTTGTGTAGTTTTTTAAAAGCCCAGTGACTTTGATAAGTTTATCACATCACTCAAGTATCTGTACATACTTTTGTACAAAGTTTTAATTGACAGATTTCCTTTTTTAAAATCCCTATACAAAACATTTATGCACAAGTATTAATGTCTTTATATAAACTGCCAGAAGTTGAACAAAGAAACATGTTTGCGTTAACACATTTTCCTGTAACAGGGCTAAGTCTTACTGATCTGTCCTATGATTTATTTCTGAATGCTTGTTACAGTAAAAAGAAGATACTTGGCTATCTGGGATGTCCAAAATGACCCATAGTAACACAGACCCCACAAAAAATAGTACTCAAAATCATAAGATTTTAAAATCCAAGCAGTTGTTTTATCAACAAGATACAGCATTCAGAGGACTGCTGTAAATAGAAGGCAACTTGATAGCATGTATGAGGCAGCTCTACTTACCTAGCTCATCACTATCAATTCTGACACCAGATTGAGATAAGTGTTTCACATCACTTTCAGTATAGGAATTGAAACCCATGGGAGACAATGGTGTTGGTTACCCTCTCTCATTTCTGCAATGTAAAGATAATGATTGTATAATATCCCTTCTGAATGACCCACAGAAGTGTATTTTTTAAACATCGGCCCTTTACAGGGGCCAAGTTGCGCACACTTGCAAACAAGTTGGCAACAAGGTGAAGTAAGTGCTCTCATACAACTATTTCAGGTTCCCCATATACCAAAAGTTACATCACAAGAATTACTTCTCCCCTTCCAATTAAATATTTGGGGATACACCAAATTGACCTGCATGGACCTAAATCTGTTGAATTATGTCTTTTCACCAGCAGAACAGATTCAGAATGTACCCTATTGTAAGTAACCACAGATTTCAACATTAAGAAGGTTCAGATAGCATGTGCAATAGTGAGTGTTTGTGGGATCTGAAGTTCAACATCTGGGGAATTGCAGGTTAGGAAACACTGTTGTAAGGTAGCCAGTGGAGATTGGAGTAGTGGGAAGATGTTTGTCCTGGTCTTTGAGGGATGTGGGCAAACATGGAAGAATGAACATTCAGCACAGACCCGTTAATGGGTCCCTGCAGAATCTGGCTTACAGGCCTGGAAAATTGGGTACACTTGTATTGCTGGTTAAATTTTAGCAATGTTGCAACCTGCCTCAAGCCACGAGGAGAGGCAGGTAAGAAATAAGATTATTATTGTATACAGCATTAACTGTTTCCTCCTGAGTAAGGTAAAGGTTTTTCCCTGACATTAAGTCCAGTTGTGTCCGACTCTGGGGTTGATGCTCATCTCAATTTCTAAGCCAAAGAGCTGGTGTTGTCCGTAGACACCTCCAAGGTCATGACTGCATAGAGTACTGTTACAAGGATTACATGTTTTCCTCCTGAGTGAGAGCACGTAATCCTTTACAGATATATTTCAGACAAGGTGGCTGGCATTAAACTTCACACAAGTGTATTTCATAATTTTTATTGATGGCATTTATCCCATGGTTTAACATGTTAATTATACTGTAATAAACATGGCTTTAATATTAAACTTTTCCTTATTATCCAAAGTCACCAGAGTCCATTTCTGTAAATATAAAAATATATACTTAACACTTTGTACAATACTGGTTTTTGGTCCAAACAAAAATGGATCAGAAAAGCCAATAAACTCATTTTTTAAGAATTCCCAATTTTAAAGATCTTTAATGGATTTAGGCAACTTTGAATAATGGGATTTACATAATAAAATCTGAGACAATACTAAACAAAAATTTGCTGTAACACACAAAATTAAAATTTCAAGTTCACAGATTTCTTATGCCAAAGTACATAGAGAAACAGAATTGTATTATTTACACATTTGTTTCATAATAAAATAATGAAAAGGCGAGACAGGTGATAAGGAGCTGTAAGAATGAAAATAGAAAGAGCGTCTAATTATTGAATGAAATACTACAGGTCTAACTAGTCCTTAGCATGGACCATTCTTTGATCATTCTTCCTCTACCAGAACATTTTAGTGCACAATACACGCAACTTGCTCACTTCACACGTACATCAGCACAAACTCTGCAAAGAAATCATTCATATTCCACATTCTCTACTCTATACAGACTCCCCCTCTCTGATATAATTACAATTTCGAGGTGTCAGTAAACGCAGATGAGCGCACAAAGTGGTGCAAACAGAGGTATTATACGAAGCCATTCGCTGTGCAGGCTATATTTATATCTATAGCCAGACCATGCCAAGTCAGTGAAGAAAAAACTGATGGGTTCTAAAGTAGTTTTGCTCAAGATCCTCCCTGCCACCAACTCTAATTATTTTAAAAAAAACTAAATGGGGAGGAAAAAAAGCAAGCAGAATTTAGGCAGACCTGGCTTCAACTAAACCCAGCATGAGGTACAATTCAATTATTGAACAATGCAGGGCAACCAGCTGTAATAAGAAATATGCGGTCTTTAACAATCATTAATACTTTTATTTTCTACGTCTAACAGCCGTCTTTATCTTCCGACCAGACACTGCAGATCCAGGTGTGGAGAATATATTTTTCCCGCTACTCCTGCTTTAGGGGAAGAAAACAAAATCAGAAGTCAAAATCAGAACCTGGGGTGATATGTGTGTTCTTAATGCTATGAAACAAATGTGAAAAAAATCCATTGCAAAAAAAAGTTACCAGCGTGAGATTTTCTACTAAGGACATAATTTTCTACGAATTAAAAGCTTTTTTTTTTTTTTCAAAAGTCTCAGTCTGAACTTTTGACAGACCTGAAAGGCTTAATGCCATCTGCTTTCAAGTACAGTATGGCCCCCATATCTGTGGGGAGTACATTCTAAAACTGGATACCTGAAACCACGGGCAAAAGCAAACCCCATATTTTGACTATACTTAAGCTGGAAGCATACCACAGAACCACAATGAGGATCTACAGAGACCCACAAGCACATTTGGGGAGTGGAGCTACAAATATTTTTGGAGCACAAAAAAGTGAAACCATGGATATTGAATCTGTGGAACCTGTGTGCTGTATCCACCATTCTGAACATAATATATCCATTAATACATCCTTCAAAGAAACAACTATGATATTGCTTTGAAGGATGTATTGATGGGAAGAGGCGAGTGCATACATTCACTTAATACACTCACTTCTTCTCTATCCTCGCCATAACTGCTAATCAGTAATGTGGCAATGTAAGCATATTATTAAAACTTACTCCTCTGCAAGATGTACATGAAACTAAAACACAAAAGTGACACAAATGTATGAAACTATTGAAAGTTCTTACCCTAAATTAAATGAAGGCTGATTGAATGAAAATCCTGAAGAGCCTGCAGGCTGTGCTGATGCACCAGGAGCTGCACCAAAGGTAAATACTCCTGGACTGTTTCCTGTGAAGTTGAAATTAGTAGCACTACCTCCAAACTGAAACACTGGACCTGAAGGAATAAACAATGAGGCTTAGCTTCATAAATGAAAAGCTTATTGTCTATTACTGTTTAGAAAATAGATAAGAATAATATTCCAATAGCACATTCAGTACTTATAATCAGAAAAGACAATAGGACCTTTGCAAATATTATGTTTCCAAATATCAACATTTTTTTAAAAGGATGCAATGATGGCATATAAACGTCTAAACAACCATAAACATTCAATACTGTATTTCTCCAGCAAAACCTCTTAATGGGATACAGCAAACCTTTTTGAAACTTCTTCAAAAGAGTTTCAGAAATTTGACTACGAGACTTTTTTTATCTTTTAGAAGACAATCAACAATAACAGCAGAAATGTTCTAACATACAGCTGGGACTGAAAAATATGGATTAAAAATGGAGGCACACCTCTTTTTTGAGTACATCAGTCAATATCAAGAGACTTCCACAGTTTGCACTTACCA